TAGCATTGTAAGATTGATGGAGTAAGGCACAGTTTTTAAATTGTGAGTCAAGAAATATTTCAAATTAATTAATATCGGCACAACAACAGTTGTCTATTTTATTAAATCAGACCATTAAAATATCCTCGTATGTGATACCTGAATGGTTTGATTTAATAAAATAGACAACTGTTGTTGTGCCGATATTAATTAATTTGAAATATTTCTTGACTCACAATTTAAAAACTGTGCCTTACTCCATCAATCTTACAATGCTAATATTATTTCGGCGTATATTGTACGTTTAATAACAAATTTGGAACGAAATGTTTGATTGAGCTTTGATACATGATATCCAGTTTCTCATAAAACAACTGGATGATACTACTCAGAAATAAAAACTGGTAGCTCTCGCATGACTTTTACCGTTCAGTTTCAGTTATTTCTTTTCATTATCTAATTTATCTTGATGAAGCCTGATATATAAATTTTATCGAGACAAAAATGTCACCAACAGGATAAACAGAATATGTTGACGTAACAGTGTGGCATGCAGTATCCTAACACTGTGTTTATCGCAGTAAGACTACAAACATCTGACTACCGAAACACGTTGAAATAAAATATATTATTTCAATCAGCCGCGGCATAAATATAATCTTGATAAATACTGCAACTAACTCTGCAATCAAAGCATCTGGATTTAGAGCTTAAGAAGGTGTACCAAGAGTACAGTATACGTCATGTGATAAACAGCATAGTCATCGCGATCAACAATATGCAGAGATATATCGAAACTCATTCGTAGCTGGTTAAAAACAAGGCATGGATTTCTATTGTGATAAACATGGTCTTTCTGACGGCAGGTATTGATTCATCGCTACAGCGACCTATGTATCTCATCGGAATCTAATTAGCTGTGTTTCTGAAATTAAGGAAAAATTTGCGAATTTCTGGTTGGAAAGTGGACCGAACGATAATTTATCATCCTCCGTTCGAAGGAGCGATAAAAACACTTCTAATTTCTACAATTTCATAGTTTCAGGCATTTTTTTCTGTTATTGGGAATAACCAACCAACATGTAATGAGCCAGCTCGATTTGTTGGAAAATAAAAAAGTTTAAATTAATCGATCAATATGTCTATTGCTAGATACACATGCAGACACATCTGGTTAAAAGTCCCTTTTCCAACTAGTAATCCAGATGACAACTAGTTGTGTATCGCCCGATTACAGACGAAGTGTATCTAGATTTTTCCCATTTGTGATGTTTGCTTGGGCATTCGAGTTGAGTGACATGAAAATTTAATTTTTGTTCATTTGATGTTTGTTGCGGTTTTTTACAATTGTGCGTTTACTGGTCTGTATTAAGCTAGAAAGTTCTTCCTATCATGAATTATGTTGAAAAATGATTCATGATAGACTTAATGAAAGATGCGTATGTTTATTTTTTAGAATGATAGTCCTTAAAACAATTACGTGTTACTTTAAGACGTAAATGTGCTTTACATTTACTGATCGAATGAAGTGAAAACACATACATATATGAGAAAAGAGCCTGTAGGCGATGGAGATAAATAGTCTGATTGTCTTTAAAAAGAAACAAATAGCGCACTGTACGGTCAAAAGAAAACAAACGATGTGTGACTGTATGAAAGACAGAAAGAAAGAAAACGAAAGATCATCTGTGAGAAGCCTGATCTCTCACACTTATCTATCTTTCAAAGACTGAGCTGCTGCTCTCTGAAAATCGTATGATTTGAATGCCTATTAGTTCAGATAAAAGTGTTTTAGTATAAATATGGCGATGATCAGTCTGGCCGTAACATTACAGAAAGGGACAGTGAACGATGCCATAATTTGGCCGTTTTTAGACCGTTTAAAGCTCTTGGTTAAAGCTTTAATCGTAAACCAGAACGAAATCGGGAATATAAATTCCCATTATATCATTCTGAAACGTAAACTATCAAAACACAAAATCAATCAGCAATAGGATCGTGCCTATAGGATCGAACTTGCGAACTTCGATCTTTGCAGACGAACTGCCAAAATCAACTTCGCTTCTTAAAGCTCTTTAAGCGATCGTTTTACGGACGTTCATTAATGATCCGTTAAATGGCTCTTAACTATCCGTTGCTATGAACCTGAGTAATATTGTGTGTACGGAGGTAGCTTCCTCTTTCACTCTGTCATCATGCTCAGTCAATATAGCGTAATTGTTAGTTTAGCTTTTATCCTACAAAACAGATTTATATTTACCATTTCACGTTTATTATTGCTAGCTAGATGAACAGAATAAAAGTTGTCGGCGAATTAAAACTGTTGTCCTTCTGCCGTTCAGTAAACACTTACCAAAAGTTTGTGGCAAAAATGTATCGGCTGCAGCACATAAACTTAAATAAAGTGATGTACCAACTAAAATATAACTTGTACCACCTAATGAACAAGCATTAAATAATTTTTGATCAGAATGACCCATAAATGCCAGTGATACCATCGGTATTAGCCATAATTCTGAGAACGCACGAAACAACAACAGTACAGCGCGTTATTGAGCTAAAGTGCGAAAATTCTCCTCCAAGCAGATTTAGTGACTGATCATATGAGCTTTTATGAATAATTGTGTCTGATTGTCAAATCCTATATTTTCGGTTTCTCATCGAGATAGTCGCTTTTCGAAAGACATCTTTTGTGCATTTAAACTTCAATTCCTCTAAGTCTTGCAGGAATTTCACAAAGGAATAGAAAATATCCAATTTCATGCTGATGCTGTTTTACAATACCTAAACTTGTGCTGACTATGTAAGGAAAAGCTAGCTTTGCCAATTCTTTGAGTTCAAATAAAACATTTTTTCGCTCAAAAAAACGTTCATTGTTGTTGGGACCGATCAGATTAACGTTGTCAGCAGATTCGGTTGCGTGAATAACCATTACTGTTGTTATACGACTGAAACAATAAAAATCCAGCTCTATCATGACATTTTTAATTTAGTTTAGTTTAACAACCGCTTATCAGTTACTAGAGACTCAAATAGAATTCATTTCTGAAAGAACCAAGAGAAGATACCACGACCTGTTCTGACCTTTCTTAAGGGTCCTGTCAAGTGATTTCCTTCGAGAAAGACAGAGTTAAGACAGGACAAGCAATATAACTCTCACGTTTGTCTTACATTTTGTATCTGTCACGACAGAATGTAAGACAAACATGAGCGTTTCATAGCGTACCCATTTTCATAAAGAACAACCTTGATCCAGTTAATTTCAGCATCTAATAATTTTTCTTCTGAACAAAT